AATGCATGCGACTCATAAGATGATGTTAGGTGGATAAAGAAGCAAGCCAACGAGCGAAGCATTTATAAGATTAGAACGCACCCCACGTCGGACAGGTTGTTAGGTTGAACGTGACGCAAGAGGTGCAAGAGGGAGAAAACGAAAGAATTGGGAAGTGCTGGCACGGGACTTCGCCCGTGTACGGCCGAACCCAAAGCTCGGGGTCGCGCCCCAGCAACGACCTTGCCAGCCAATCTAAACCCAATCCGCAATCGTCTTCTCTCTCGTTGCCGGATAAATTGAGCAGGGGAGCGCGGCCAATGCGACGAAGGTCAGGGGCGTTATCTGATAAGATATTCATGCCCCATCTTCCCATCATTCGACGTGTGACGTGTGGGCGCTCATCGCGACCGGGTTCCCACAGTACACGTCGATTACCGTTGGTGAAACATGAGGCTGCCCGACGCACAGGGGGAAACGTAGGTTGCAAGACAGGTGGGATGAGAACGAAAGATGGAGAGAAAGTGGAGAATACGACGGATCTTTTCCAATTGCCATTAAACTAGGCAAAAAGGCAAAGTCGAACCGCCAAAGCGAAACCGAAGCAAGGCCAAGGAAAAGAAGTGTACTCACCACACGCATTGCAAATATTATTTCCGACATCGTCTCTTCTCCAAAGAGGCGTTGTGCTTGTACCGCAGTTGGCACAACTCAAGGCACCAACAGGCAAACGCGAACGGGTCCGGTTGGTCACCGGCGCAGTGACGATTTGTTGTTCTGGATGTATTTCACCCTCGCCATGCTGATGATCTTGAATAGCAGCCACGGCCTGGTGACCATTTGGTCCTTGGGCCGGAGGAGCGCTGACGGCGGTACCTCCTTGAATGGCTGAGAGTGCGTTATTAAATGTAGGACATCCTGAACAAGCCGATGTGCCGCCCGTACCGTCGCAGCGTCCATCGCCAGGACACGTACCAGCTAAATGTGGCCTTGGCAGACCCGGTTGATCCACTTGAGTATGAAGCTGTTGCCTCGACTGATCCGACGGTGAATCGGCGGGAGTGGGCATGGCGGGAGGGGACTTTGAGCTTTGTCTTTGCTGCTGCAATTGTTGCACCGCGTTCGGGTGGGTGGCTGATGGTGATGCAGATGGAGTCGAGCGAGATAGATTAGTTGGACGGGGGACCTTCTTCGTTTTGAAGTAGAGGCCTGTCACAAAGAAAGAGCGAGGGTGCGAATGGTACGCATAGACGAAGGAGGTGGCCAGCACACGAGCGAGGTTGCAGGAAAGAGTGATGGTCGAGTAGATAAAGAGCAAGGGAGAGATGAATTCGTCAGCAATCGGGATAGACAGACATGATCAAAGCAAGAAAGTAGAGGAACGATAGACATGCACAAAAGGTTTGTTTCACCGGCACATACTTGAAAGGCATGTGCCATCTGACCACACCCAAAGCACGCGTCTAACGCAAAGAGACGGTGAGGTAGTGATATGATCCTCTTTCCCTCAAAGAATGTTCCTCCTGAGAGGAGCGACGTAGGCACGTGGCAAAGGAAGACGGACAGACGCGTTGGAAACAAATCAAAGTTAAACATGGACTTACCACAAGCGTTACATACAGACTTGCCAATGGGATCGCGACGCCAGAGGGGCGTTGAGGCGACCCCGCAATTGGCACAGGTGAGGATAGAGCTCGGATTGGGAGATGCACGACCATTCGCAAGAGCGGGGTCAATGTTCTCGGGCTCTGTCTTCTCAGACTCGATCAGTTTCGGGTCCACCTGGTGTTGCCCTGGGGCACCATTCAGGATCTGCTGCTGCTGCGTGGAGACAGCTGGCATCAGCGAGGGTGATGATGGTGCGGAGGAGTTGTCTTGTCTAGACTGTTCAGAGGCCGGTGGGGTATGCACCTGCCCGTTAAACGGCAGCCTCGAAAGGGCAGATATCGAGGCAGGATGCATGTCGAGAACGGGTGACTCCATTGCTACCGGGGGCATTATATGACCCAAAGCTGCACGCAAGATCCCCCAGACGCGGTTTGAATGAAACGTGGCCAATAAACTGACACGCTCTAGCTCGCACTAGTCTGTCTGGTCGCTGTTCTGCACGACGAGCAACGGACGTGGCGGACGGCGGAGACGATGATGAAAGTCAGGAGTAGAAAATGGTGAGCGGGGAGATGCAACGGCTTGGTTATCAACTCCGTGTTATCTATGTTGCCCCTCTGACCAATCACGCCCGGGCCATTGCCACATCACCCTTTTTGGTTGCCGACGCTCCCTCCGCCCTTGAACCTTAACCTCTGTTCTCTCGCTCTCGCCTGCTCGCTGCCTTGTATCTTCTCGCTCGACGAGATTCGTTGCACTCTGGCTGGGAACTCTATGGTGCAGACCACATCTTGCTTTGCAGTAGGGCCACACGCTTGACTGTCGAGGTTCCCTCGAAGTGGCGGAGTCAATCTTATCTGCTAATCTTGGCGCCTGCTTCTCTGATCATCTCCGTTGCGAAGCGGTAAGCATCTCCCAAGGAATGTTTGCCAGAGCATTCGATGTTCAGACAGTTGCGTATTCCCACTGACAGCAAGCTTGCATGGCTTTAGAGTTGTTTCTACAAGTCCCTCTTGTAAAATGACACCATTTTGAATGTAAAAGTCCGACCAAAGACAGCCATCTCCGAGAAAGCGCGCAGCAATGCCGCTCGAGCCTCCCGAGACAAGATCGGCTGACCGTATGTACGCACAACCTTGTTGATCAACGGATGGGTCAACGTTGACCTCACGTGACCTGTCCCGGTAAGGCTTAGGCATGTATTCACCGTGTACTACCTGCGAGTGGAGTGTCGTCGATCGCGTCCGTTGACTGCCCGTTGACCATGGCCCCGCGCTGCCGCCCCTGCCAAAATCCGCTGCCGAGAGCCGCATTTGGACTAGCGGCGCCGCGCCGAATATATTGATCGGCCGCCACCGACATCATGGTTCCCTTTCCTTCGCGGCCATCGGGGCCTAGGCTGCGTCCGCGAACAGGTTTCCCCCGCAGTTTGAACTTTGCTCATGATCCTTCCATCCCGCCACTTGCGTGTTCCATAACGTCAACATCCACGGTGACGTGGTCTTGCATGCAAAAGGCGAGCATCCTTACTGGAAGCTTAGACCCTCAAGCTACCCGTCCAAATGTTCAAGCAACCCACTTTGTCGACGGTTGTTAGCGGCTGTTCAATTTGGATAGCGACGAGATACTTACGAGATTCACGCCCGATCAATTGGACTGTTGAGAACGAATTTATCTGCATCAAAGCAAGGAACTTCGAGATAAGATATCGTGGTGAAGGGTGCTTACGCTTCGGCTACGATCGAGGAGACGAGCAAAACCGCGAACAACCACATTCACATGTACACGGGTGCATAAGCTTGCCAGCGAGTTTGGATAACTCGTAGTGTACAACGACCTGATGTCTGAAGTATGCAAACCATTCAGAGTTAACATTCCCCAGGGGTAGTCTATCATGTGGATGCAACTTGATTCGAGTAAACAGTCGAGGAAAAATGGGTTGTCTCATTGATATAACCCACAAGAAAGCCGGCATGTATCATAAGACCACCCAACACAATGGACGGAAATGCAACATTGCTGCCACACACGTATCCGTATCGTATACGTGAGGCACAACTGCTGAGAGAATGTCGTAAAATCCCGTTACATCGTGAGGACAACTCTCAAGTTGACAAGATAGGGGTACTCACTTACTCAGAGATAAGATCATGAGTCGCGAACGCGTTTTGGACGCGGTCACCTGGTGGTGGAAACCATCACGCGAACATGGCGCGTGGTGGACCATTTGTCCCTTGCAATTTAGATGTGATCGATATCTTGACACAGACTTGACTGCGCGGTCCCCAAAGAAAATTGGGTTGTGGCCCTTACCAAATTGTGAGGGTGACGATCTCCGGAACATATGCCAGGCAGCGAAAGTTGTCGCAAAGCTAGGCCAGAGGAGGACCCCGGAAAATACCCTATGAACTTTGATCCCATGTCCGGATACAAACAGGGGTTAACGGCCAAACACTTTGATTTTATCCGGATAAAAACGGGGGGTCCGGCCGTGAAGACCTTGATCCTTGTCCGGATATGGACCATGGCCGGCCGGACCACCTTGATCCTGTCCGGATACCAAGAGGTACCGCTCGGAGCTCCGGCGATTACCGGTACCTGCGGAGAGAACAACTTGCTGTCGTCTGTAAGGTTAGTAAATGTATTCATTTATTACCGAATTTGTAGGTTTCCTACCTAAACTTGGCAACTGCAACTGATTTTCGGCCGCACCTGCAGTACTTACTGAGCGGAGCTTGAGCGCTGAGCGCCGGTTGGTTTAGGTTGCGGTTGGGTAGCATCGAAGGCCCTCATTCTGATACTCTGTACACAGAGTACTAGTGGCACTGGTGCTCTGTGTAATTTAGAGGATTCTGACGATGAAAATTGCCGAAAATTGAAAGCAAATCGAAAAAATAGCGATTTTTCTTGATTTTTAGGACTTTGATTTCTGTCCGGATAAAAACCGGGGGTCCCGACCGAACCTTGATCCAATCCGGATACAAACGGCCTTTGAGCTGTCCGGATACAAACCCCGCCGCCGACCTCAAAGTTCATAGGGTATTTTCCGGGGTCCTGCCAGAGGCAAGGTATTGCAGAACACCATCATGATAGACACGTACTTACAGTCCCTCATGCGCTAACAAGGAACCGCGAGCTAAGGAAATCCTTGTGAGTTATGTACCGTATGGGAGGGAGATCGGTATACGATTGAGGGTAATGGAAGCATGTAAGATGCTGAGCCGTAAAGCTTGAAGCTTGAAGCTTCGAAGCTCTGATGCAGTAAAATCGGAAGTTGAACGTTGACTGCCCAACACCGCTTAATCAAAGCGAGTCATGGTCTCGTAAGACTCCGACCCTTCTGCGGTGGTGGGGTGCGAGAGAACGGCTGGGCACGAGACCACCGAGTCAAATGATTGTGAAGCAACTCTAACGACAGCATAGCCAAGTGGTTACGGCGACAGATTAGAATATCCTCTGAGGAGAATAGCCTACCATCTGTTCCTCTTTGAGGGCGCAGGTTCGAATCCTGCTGTTGTCGGTCCTGCGGTTGATCCTGGGCAGTTTTTTTTGTCGGGTCCTCGAAAACCCGATGTTATGCGTTAGGAATAGGCCGAAAAATCACAGTACTCACGATGCTTACTGGATAATACTTTGGCCTGCAGAACCTTCGATCTTACCCGACCTGAACATGTCTATTGTATGTACATACTGCATATCAATTGGATCTTTCTTTTCTCCCTGGTTGCAAATAGGTTTGTCGGAATCAGCAACCGCGCGCCGCGAGATTCTGTCGAAGGTTGTTTGATCATGTTATGTTTCAAAGTCGTTGCCAAATCTAGCTTCTTCTCTCGTCGACCGCCATCATCCACACAAAACTCACCACCTCACCGACAGCATAGCCAAGTGGTTACGGCGACAGATTAGAATTGCAAGCCATGCTTCTACTATTATCTGTTCCTCTTTGAGGGCGCAGGTTCGAATCCTGCTGTTGTCGATTGAGTGGAACACATGAGGATTGCTTTTGCTGCAACTTGCCGTGACCATGTCACCGAGACTTTGGAAAGCTAGAAGACTTACACCACTCCCTCCTCGACCTCTAGTACTAGTATTGGTCGGTACTCACAATTTTGATGCTTGTTTGTCTCCCGCCGGTACGTTGTCAGGGTGATCTCACTTGACGCCACCAACGCAATGCATCAACTTGTTTCTAACCTCAAGGCTTGAACTTCGACTTGACAAGCTTGACAGCTAGTACAGGTTCATCACAATGGCGAGGTTACCCATCGTACATACTGTATCAATGCGCCGTTAATCGCCATCGACAACAATATCATAGTAAGTATGTCAGTGGGATTCTCAACGTTCATGCTACTCCGCCTTAATGAGGTCCCATCTCTTTGCCGATAGCACCAACACTGTGCTAGAGTAGACCCCACGACAGCGTCTCTTTAACGTGGCGCATAGCATGTGCAGTGTCCATCTGTTGACAGGTATGTGACGGTTCATCAATCGCATATTGACTACTATGCAACCCTGATCATAGAAAGATGTGGTATTGTCGATAACCACTCGGCTTGAACGGACGACATGGGAGAACAGTCAATGGTTTAGTTCTAGCCCGGTTATTGCCCGCTACCGTCTTGCGAGTTAGATTGGACTCTGTGTGAGAGGTCGGGTTTTGGTAGGAATCCTTTGTACAATAAATAGGCTCGGTTTCGATGTGTTTTCCTCAGGAGCCCTCCTCACTTTTAGTCATACACTTTCTGGTGCTGGACGGTACGTAGTACAACGTTTCCTCTTACAACTGCTATCAATGCGACTGACACCAATGCATGTCAGCCTATTCCACTTCATTCACATTACTTTCCCGTTACGACCCATCTTATCAACCACTTTCTAATTCCAACACATCAACACGAATTTCAACTTTTTGAAGGCCATGTATTCCAAGACTCCTATTGTCACGCTCCTCGCCCTCGGCGTGGCTTCAAGCACTGTCGTTGCCCGTCCTGTTGGGTATGCATTGCTGAACAAAGAATGACCATCCTATTTAATCTCATATCGTTCCACTCTAGTGTTTTGTACAGTCGCGAAAACGCCGCTGCCGAACTTTTGGCGCGAGATAACTCTCCGACGTCAGTTGATTTCACCTATTCCCCCAACGTCTTCCACTGACTTCGCCGCGTGTGTACGAACTTAACAGTCTTCCCGCGAAGCGAGAGCTAGCGGCCGCACATGTAACACTGGGTGACATCGAGATCAAACGCGACATTCCTGAGGGACCGGGATCCGTGTTGCATTTAAGCATTCCCGAGCCCAAAGGTGCAGAACCAGCCTCTGCACATGTCTCCTTCGGTGATTTCGAGACCAAGCGCGACGTCCCCGAGGGACCAGCATCCGTTTTGCATTTAAGCATTCCCGAGCCCCAGAGCCAAGAACAACCCTCTGCACATGTTTCATTCGGTGATTTCGAGACCAAGCGCGACGTCAATGGAGGAGATGAACTCAACTTGGAGAGGAAGGAGAAGTTAATCCATTCTCTATTCGCAAGGGCGGTCCAAGAGGCTCAGGCTCAAGACTCGCCTGATGAACAATCTGGGGCGTCCTTCTTGGGTGGCTTGATCAGAGGAGGGCTAAATCTCCTCGGCGGTCTCTTCGGCGGAGGCGGAGGTCAACAGCAAAAGCGCTTCGAGTAAGTCTTAGTACACATGCGTACTCAACTTGCCACAAAACTGACAACCGGCCTTCCAGTACAACCCTTGGTGGGTTTGCTAGGGCCTCTGACCCAGCCCAGTTTTTCCCAGATGGTCACATTCCATCTACTTTTGACCGCGACCCTGGATTGGCCGCTAAAGTCGCGTCGTGAGTACCCAATATTGACTGTTAACCCCCTCTCCCTCGTCCTATTTCTCTGTCATTCGCTGAGCATTTGTTCGTCCCTATTGATGCCATGGTAGCCGTGATCTCTCGGACAATGTGTGGGGTCACGCTCCGGACGTGATTTATCCATCATTTAGCTTCCCCAATCAGAAACATCCTGCTAGTGTCAAGCGGGAGCTCGGGAATGGGTGAGTTCATCTCTTGGTCACAATATTGCTTGACCACCGTCGCTAACGAAAATAACACCAAACCCTCTGCGTAGACTGAGTGACCTCGACTAAATGTAGGCTGTCTGAAGTTGAATATGGGCCAAGAGAGCGAAGGCTTACTGTAGGCCGTCGGTGTTTAGATACGTGCTCTGTATGCGTTATAGCCTGGTAAGGGAAAGGTATTTATGAATATATATGAGGGTTCCTCTCAAGTTGATATGGTTTGGATGCAAGCTTCAACAAGTTCCCGGGGGTGACGCATTTCGGGTCAAGCCTTCGCGTGCGCGGCCCGGGATGTTTGATGTTGTTGGAATTCAAAGCCCTTGCCTTATCAGGTTCGCAGCCCCTCTCCATGTACTGAACGAACCTCGGAAAGCCGCCCTGCAGACAGCATAGCCAAGTGGTTACGGCGACAGATTAGAATCTTAGCTTCTATCATCTGTTCCTCTTTGAGGGCGCAGGTTCGAATCCTGCTGTTGTCGTTTTCTCGCGAGTCTGGACGAAGCATATATTTTTACGCGTAATCGATGGCTTTCCGTGCCTATGAGCTACGATTACCATAACCTAAAACTACTTCAGTGGAAGGGAAAAAGAGCATACAAAGTGAATATCTACAACAGTTACAGAGAACCGAGCTTGGTTTCAGCACAGCCTGTCGAACTCGAGAACGAAATCACAGACAGACAAGAGGAAGTTGAAGAGCAAACAGACTTATTCTGGATCTACTGGTAGCTCTGTGTCAGGCGCGCGAAAGCGAGCTATGCAATAAATCCGCTCTACACTTAGGGCATGAGCCAAATAGTTTGCTCACTAAATCAGTATCCCCGTTAAACCTTTCAGCATTCTCGGGTGTTTGGAAGAACTGCGCCACAGCGATAAGGCCTGATTCGGCACAAATCGTTGCAAGCTGGGAAGCAGGGGTGACATCGTTGTTGCGCTGTCCAAAGCAATGCCTAGCGAAAGTCCTTGCGTTTTTGCAGACTGGACAAAGAAAACGAGGTGAATGTACTAGAAGTCGGCATGATCAGTTGAAACATACTTGCATCAAATATTACCGCTCTGGCAAAGTCTGGAATGAACGGTTTTGTTGCGATGTAGGTGAGACAGCGAAGCAGTGGAGTCGGTGGGGGGTGTCCATTGCTAGATTGGTTGGATTCGGACTCAGGATACGAATCATCTTCCGGGTTGTACATCTGTCTCTTGAATCAAAACAAGGTTACAACTACCGAATTTTCATCAAAAGACATACCTGCTGCATTAGACACAAATACCCAAATACTTCAATGTAGCGGAGACTCTTTTTTTTTT